TCTCTCTGAGAAAGAGATAGTCTTTCTCAGTAATGCATAGATCCATTGTTTATGTTGCCTAGTAAAGAAAAACCTATAATAATGATATAGAGTTTGCCCTTAGCAATGAAGTGAAACAACTGTACATGTATGGCAAGAAAGGCGCTGTGGCTGAAGAGCTCTGTTTGGAGCAATGGAAAATTCTTGCCTTTATTCCGCTGAGTCTTGCAAAGAAGCATCTTGCTGTCTGCGTGCTTGTATATGTACTTAATATTTTGCTTTATTTACACATAGTGAAAACTAGAACTAATGTTGACAATGTGAGAGCTGCTTTAAAAAATACAAAACAGAAAAAAACAGCTGTGAGGAAAAATTCCTGTTCGTAAAGCCAAAATGACTCTTTATGGAAGAATAAAAAATAATCAATCTAATGTATCTGAATCCCTCTCTTCCATTCATACAAATACATGCAAAACTTTAGCTTAATTTTATTGTCAACTATTACAGCATCTCTTCTGAAGTACAAATTCTAACCAAACTCAGTAAAATGTCTTTCAAAGTTCAGCATGCATGCTAAGATATTACAGAATTTTTTTTATGTACTTGAACACAGGTATGTCTGATTTTCTTTAAAGCTTCTATCAGTTGGGGGAAAAAAGGTGATGGTTGGATCATGCTCCCATAGGATGCACCTCTTTTTTACTACTTAATGTTTTAACGTTCATCACTTAAATGTGTTTTTGGGTGTGCTTCTGAATCATTACTTTGCAAAAAGAAACAGATATTGCCATCCATCTCCAGATGGGTTTCCACCATGTTTAAAGATTGGTGCTTTTCTCCTTTATTCTTTAGAAAAGAACACTTCTAATTAGATTCTGCTTTCCAGATAAGCTGCTCTTCATTTTTAATTCAGGGGAACAAGAGGAGGTAGCATTGGGGTATATTTGATCTCTTTGAAATATTTCAGTCTGTCTTTAAAAACTCACAGCACTGTAGCTTTCTCTTGAAAGGCTTCTGTGACATTCAGATGTTTGTTGGCTGGACTTGAAAGTATGCTTTGGATACTGTTTAGAAAAATCTAGTGCCCCATAAGTGCAATACACAATAAAAGGAAGTAATGCTCAAGAACTATTGTGTGTAGATTGCTGCAAACTGCTTTTCTCTTAAAGCTTGCAGCTTGCTGGCCTGGAGAAAAGGTTGTTTCTACATTTTTTTTTTCCAGTTATCTATGTGAAATTCTTCACTTCAGGTCCTTTTTGGTTTTGCTTTGACCTGTTTTTACAGTTTTTACTGCTGCCTGTTTAACACGTGTGCAGTGAACAGCTGCACTACTGAGTTCCTGCAGATGTTGTGAGCCAGTATGACTTTTATAACCGCCTCTATGATGTTCAGTCATGGAAGCCTTGATTTAGGAAAAAGAAATCATATGCAGTCATGGATGTCTTCAAATGTCCTGACCTAGACCTAGAAAAAAACTATGGTATTTTCTGGCACTCTCTGTACTGAGCTGTCTCGGATGGTTTTCTTCTGCGGCTCTTAAACACATCAGATAAAGTTTGGAGCCATCCAGTAATTGCATGTTCCAAGTTCCTTTTCCTATCTACAGCAATCCTGTTAATGTTACTTCTTTTAAAGCTCTTTGTTAGTAAATATCATCAGATAAAAGGCTATGTACTCTGGATTTCTGCTCTGTAAAAGTCCATTAAATAAACACAGTATTACCAGCTGACTGACTTCTGAGCTTAGTTTTACTGAGGGTTTTAGTGGGCTGTTAACTACAGGTATGGCTTTTTTGACTTCCTGATTTTGGGGGGGAATCTTGCTTATCAGATCACCTCTGTTTTCCTGATTCCTTCATGTATGAACTTGCCCTAGAGGAGAGCCATCTCTAACTATATTTTCTTTTTTATGAATTCAAAATACCTATTAATCTGAAAATAATTTTAGAAAGTGTATTCCACTGTTGAAACAGTGGCCGTGACACTACTATTTTGTATCTGTACTTTCGTGTAAGAATTTCATATATTTAAAATTCATAATTGAGTTTCTTTTCAAGATAAATTTCAGAAAGACAAACCTCAAACAGACCTGTATCAGTGTGCTTATCTGGGAACTAAGTCGGACGTTAGGGCTATATCATAGTGTGTGTCTGGAGGGGGGAGTTACACCATAGTGGCAATCTTTCACATGGGTGCACTACGCAGTTGTTTGCAGGACTTAATATCTTACTTTGTATAGGCTTCAGCTGGGTTTAATGTTCTCCTTGCGCTGGAAAAATAAAGTTTTCTGGCGTGTCCTAGACCTCTTTCTTGTTTCTCCCATCTCTACAATCAAATCACTGTATTATAGGTATATATGCGGGACTTTTTTTTTCTTTTTATGGCAGTTGCTAAATAATGTTACGGTAGTTGCTAAATAATGCTGCCAAGTTTGTCGAGTCAGAAATGTAATTGATGCTCTACACAACACTTTTTAGAGACTAAGATTGAAAGGGAAATAAACAACAAAATCAGCACTGCTGGTCAAGAGTTGCAATGAGGTGCTTTCCAGGAGAAAGAATAGTAACAGTAAAGCCAGGACTCGTTAGTCCTATTCTCTGTGCTGGTGCACAGCATTGTCTTTTTGTCCCTTCCTTATGCCCCGCCAAAAAACCTTGACTGCAGGCCCCTCCAGTTTTGGGGGAATTAGAAATATAAAGATTTAATCTTTACGCTTTAAAAGTTATTTTCTACCTCTTTTCCTTGCTTAAGATAGAATGGAAACCATAAAGTAATGGTAAATGTCAACTAACTGTGAGACTTTAAAGAACCAGCAGCTGGCTTCTGCTTATGAAGCAGAGAAACTGCGTGGGAGGAGATGTAAAGAACCTCCTCAAATACCCACTCTAAGGGATTGAGGGGGGGGGGGGGGGTGGGGGGGACGGACATGACTGTACTGAACATGGGTTTTAACCTTTAGAATTCTTTTGCTGTTCTCATATTCTTAGACTTGTATGAAAATGCAAAATGGCAATAGATTTGTTTCATGTAAAGGCATCAGACAAAGGCCCCATGCCACCTAAAGTTAATTTCTGATAAGAAAAGGCACTTAATTTGCCTGTATCAATTTTGTCTGTTAAAGATTCATTGTATGAATCTCAAACATTTTTGAAATGTATTTAATGAATAATTGTTTGCAGAGGGCTTGAGTGTGCCTCAAATCAGATGCAATGTTTCAATGCAGCAACATTATTAACAACATCATTAGAGTAGTACTGAAATGGCAGCACTTAAAAAATGCCTCTACCACAAATCTGAAATGATGGGCTTGTTTTGAGTACAAATAAATGTATGAAACATGAAAAACATGTTCATTCATGATGCATAAACTGAGATCAAAAATACTCCACAGGTTTATGCTAATATAAATTGAGACAAATTCTAGGTTGGCAACGCTGTTTGACCTAAAAACTCTAAGCAAGGCAACTAATGTTTCTTCTACTTCTAATAGGAAGTCCATACCTGCTGTTGAAGAAAGACAAAGGGTTATTTTTGAGTGGGTTTGTTGGTTTTTAATTAACTTATTTTTGCAATAATTCATAGAACTTTCATCGCTTTCTGATATGGAAAACAATATACAGCCTCATTAGTTCATGGCACAGTGATTTTTAACTTATTTTAAAAAGATTCAGGGCAAACAGGCTAGAAACTGAAGAAAGAGAAGTTTTTTTCTGAAAATAGTCAATTATAAGACACTTAACCAATGTATCTAAAAAACGTGGTGGCAATCTGTCTGGTTTTTAATCAGAGAACTTTCTGTACCTAGATGCCGATTTTACTGGGCAGATGAAACTGCTCTCAAGGAATGGTAAATATTGCTCAGTATGGGAAGATTGTTTTTACATGTTTGACGAACAACTCTTATACGGAAAAAAAAAGAGTAGAACTGCAACTGTGTTATTTCACCTGCTCTTCTTTTAGAAGTGTCCTTTCTTGTTTGCTGACAACTCCCACTATGGAGCACTTGTCCATGATCCTGGGAATTACTATTAACTCCCCAAGACGGGGGTGGGAAATTAGAACTGGTGATGAAGGGCTGGAAGGGTACCAGCTGGAGGATATTTGTGACAGATAAGAATAACAGGAAGAGACAGAGAAAAGAAATGGTCAGCACTTTTGGCTTTTTAAAAGTGGGGTGCAGATGACTTGCTGTTATGTTTTTGCAATGCCTTGTTTCCAGACTACTGGCTTAGTCAGCCACATCTTTAATTTGCCTCGTATATAACAGCTGCTTCTGCTGCTACCACAGAAAGAGAAATTATAGTTTCCAAGCCTTCATTTCATCCCTCTTACCTATAATCCTCAAGTTCCAGTCTGTCTGACCACTTGACTAGGCTTTTTTAATTAGCAGATCTTTTTGGGGGCCCTTAAATATGTTTTGCATATACAGAAACACTAAACAGCCTTGGAAACTCTTGATGAGATGAAAAACATCCTGCTGGGGATATAAAATGGCACATAATGCCTAGAATAATGATTTCCATAATTGAGATTTTCATGTGTTGTATTAGAAGGCCTCATTTACCTGGGGTCCTGTTCTTATGAAAGGAAAAGAAGAAAATGTTTAACCATTTAAAAAACTTATCTGTTTAATTCAGTGTCTACCCTGTTTTATTGATTCCTCTGGAGAAGGCTTATGGGTTTGACACAAAATACACAAAAAGCCCAAGTTGAAAACTAGCATTCAAATATTTCTGTGCAATCTGTGGTTCGGATGTACTTACTTGATTTGCCCAGATGAGGCAGGTGGAGTTTCATAATAATCTTTTCCTTGTACCCGAGACCACTATGCTGCCTGATCATTTGGCTGAGGTGGCACATTGTTAATGAAGTGCTAATAAACAACATAATTTGGGAAGGTACACTCTTCTGTAGAAGGTAATAGCTCTCACTGCTGCAAGTATCTTAATGTAATCAAAGAAAACAGCTTGTTTTAATCATTTACTAATTGTATGGCACAACCAACCAATCTCTGGGATGTACCTTGGAGACCCGGTAACATATTTCATCGACTTCTGGGGAATCGACACAGATGATGTTGGTCAAATTGCCCTCAGTTCACTTCATTTGCTGGTCTGCAGCTCTGTGGTGATTTGTCTAGAAGACAAAGAAATAAAAGATTTTGTGTGATAGCTTAGGATATGCTCAACAGGTCAGCCGATAATTGGTCTTGACATTACCCGAGGAAAAATCGCTAGTGTCACTATAAAGGTCTGAGTGTTTTTGTACTAATTATTTGGATTTTCAGGTAAAATATATTGTGCTTAAAGTTTAGCTCTGAGTGAAATTAGATTACTCAGAATATTAAACTGAGACACAATACTTTGAATAAACCTTATATTTTAAATAATTTAAATATCATAAATACATAGTTCTATGGTATTTTGTTTCGTGCTGTTCTGGTTTGCTCTTCTTGTGAGATTATTCAGACATATAAAACAATAAAAATTTGCCAGAAAATGAGCTCTGGGTTTATTTTTCAGTGCTGCAGACAAGTGGTGATAAGATCCTTCTCTGAAAACTCAAATATTAAACCTGTGTGCATCAGTCTTTTTCTGTAGTGTAGCTTTGAATTAATTTTCTGTCGTAAAGAAAAATAATCCCACTTAAATACTCCAATACAGGTCTAGGTAATAGTCTGATTTTTATTGGTACCATGCACCAATCCTGATGAAATCTGCAAAAATCCTGCAGTTTTTCAGTAGCTCTGAAAATCATTCCATCCTTAGCCTGCAATGTTCAAAGGCACCCAAAGAACTACATAAATGACTATCCCTTGTCCCTGAAGTGCAGTAGGTTAGGTGATGGGATTCCCAAAGCATTCTAAATTCTTGGCATTCAGGATTGAAAATGCCAGGGCTCAAGTAACAAATATTTGAGTTGCTTGTTAAAGCCACTTCATTAAACTGGACTCATCTGAATAAGTCAGTATCAAGTAAGTATGGTATATTAAATCTAAAAAGAAATATTTTTAAATCTATACTTTTCAGTGGTCTAATGATTACTTTTTGAAGAGCTTGTGGTATGCAAAATGCTGTAATTTATACAGCATATGCTTAAAAAGACTGGTCCTGTAGTATTAACCTTCATGCAGTTTCATGGAAGACATTTTGAGAATTTCAGATCCATCTTGTTCAGCTACACCTTCTCCATTACGATTAACGGAGGAACATGCAAGTTTGAACTTTTTGAATAGCTTTGAAAAATCACACATTTGTTATTTGTCTATTTTATAGGACATGAAAAAACCCCTGCCACCCCTCAGGGAATTAAAGCACAGTGCTTTAATTACATAATGTCCATTAATGCTAATAAATTTTATGCTAAAGACATATGCTGTACCAGTGCCAACTAAAACATAAGTCTCCTTCCTTTTCAAACCCTGTGCCACGTATTGCCTGGACGTGCGGTCATTAAAATGAACTTGGTTGCAACGACAGGCATTAGACAAAGATGCAAGATTTCATTTTGACTTTCAACAGCTTTTATAGGTTGAAATAATTCTAGGATTTGATCTTCAAGTAATCTTTAAAAGCATTCAAGTAAGAACAGTGTTAACTAAGTGAGGGAACAGGTCACTATACATGTGAAATCAAGTGATAATATTTTTCAACTGCTGCAGTGTTCTATAATCTGATATGACTTGAGTTTTCTCTCAAAAGATTCCTTTGTAACGTTAGTCTGAAGAATGAGTTTACCAGCTGTATAAGAAAAAGCATGTTTGTAACTTTATTCCCAAATCTTATTTCATTCTCTGCTCTGTATCTCTCACCTAGTCAATAACTTCAGCCCTTTTTTCTTTTTTCTTTTCTTTTTTTTTTTTTTTAAATATAACTGATGCGTTAGTAGTCCTTCCAGAGTTTGACTCCAGAACTAAGTCTTCTCTTGCAGTATTTCTGGAAATCGGGCAACCGAATCATTCTTGATCTGTGTGTTAAAGTGCAGCAGTTCTACTCTCTATAGGTGGAGTACAGGAGGAGGTTGGGATCCACTTTATGAGAATTTGAAGGAAAAACAAAACTATCAGTAAGAGGATCAAACTGGTAGATGCAGACGTTTTTCACATCTCTGTAGTGAGCCAACATTTAGTATCTTTTTGTGCTAACGAAATGGAAATGTGACGGTGGTTTGGTCTGGTTAAGAATGGAGACCAAATGGGAATAGCTGTGCATGAGGAGGATGGCATTTTATCAGAGCAGATGAGAGGATTTTGTGGCAGCAGGAACATGAGATGAGGAGGGGCTGAGTGATGGTGGGATGGTAAAATGCATAAAATGGAACAAAAAGCATTTAGATACTGTCTGGCTGTGAAGACTTAGAAAATGCGTGGACTTAGCAAGTGGGAGGATAAGTGGGATCAGCCAAAGGGATGTGAAGAAATTTAGTGAAAAATAAATTTAATGAAAAATAAATGAAACTTGCAACTGAATGTGTAATGTTCAAGGTTTGTTCTTGTGTTGCCTGTCCTTCACCTCAGATGGAATAAGGAGAATAGGGTTGTTTCTCAGCACAATCTTTGTTTTTTCATATATTGTTCTTGACTATCCCAATCCCTGTATAATGATCAGTGTTGATGTCCTGAAGTGGTTGTATTAGTTAGTCAGAGGATTACCAGCCCTTTCTTTCTTAAGCCTATCATCAGAGCAGTCTTCAGGAGCAGACAGAAGGGAAGAGCGAGGGCTGTGAGGCAGCACGTGGGTTCAGTGTGAGAACTGTGCCACATCCTCGCGGCCTGGGTCTGGGTGGGCAGGGGGGGATGCCACGGTGCGTGGCTGGGCCGAAGGGAGGGGGAGCGCGGGGCTGAGGAGAGGGTAGAGAGCTGGGTTTGCTGCCTGCCGCGCTCTCTGCAGGGCAGGGGGCCCCTGGGAGTCCTCTTGTAGAGAGCTCTCAGCAGTTGTATTTTATCCTCAATCGCAAACCTGTCAATTCAGGGCATTAATCACATTTTTAGTATTTTCATTACGTAATGTTTTCTATGTTCTCTTTATGCTACACTAGTGTTTCTGCTGAAAGGCTGTAAGACTTCGGCTGAATTTGGGTGGCTCTGCCACCAGATATGTAGAAGCAGCCTCACATAAAAGAAAAAAGGGCTATTATAAACAGAGAGTTTCTAAGAATGCTACATGTCGATGAGCAGTAATTATCAGAGCTGGGAGCATTTTGAAAACCTTACTGATGACTAAGCCTCCATTTTACACCTCTACTTCCCAAATTCCCGGTCTGGTGGGAGCTCATGTTATTTTTAACAGTAGCTACTTTTGTTACTGAGTCCTAATGGATTGGAACCACACTTAAAATAATTGATAGTTTTTAATCTTATATGCTGTTGTTGTAAATATCCTTTCTTTAAAAAATTAGTGAGAAACTTGAATTGTCCCAAATCTTCCCACCATCAGTTGCACTTTTCCCCAACTTTCTGACTAGTTTCAAAGAGAAATAATGTTCTTGCTTTTTCTTCTGCTCTGCTTGCCTGCGTTCACCTCGCTGCTGATCTCCCTGCTCACAGGCAGACCTGTTCCAGCTCGGTGATGAGTGCCAGTCATGATAGCGTAACAAGCCAAAAGTAGTAAACTTATTCTGAAAAGCTTGCAAACTTGGAAGTGCTTAGGTGCCAGGGTTTTAAACTCATTGCAACTTTATTAATGACACCCTGGGGGAAGAATCTTTTAATAGTAAACACATTCAAACAGATTTGAGCTAAAAAAGCTGGATTTACTTTGTTTTGGTTGCATGTGTACTACTGCATTATTAGGAGATGATTTAGAGCAACAGCGGTGAACTCTTAGCTTGGATCGTGCTGAACTGAAGGTTCTCCATGACTGAAAATATTTTTCCAGCTTTATGGGAGCTTCCCCCCTCCCACCCCCTGTGTAGCACTTTGCAGTTTAAAAAAAGCTGTGTTAAACAGCATTTGTTGAGCTTACTGAATAATCAAATATGATTTCATTTTTTTCTTGAAACATTCGTTCCTGCTCTGCTTTTGAAACAACACACGTGCCAGTGTGCTATTCTTCTCCCTGGTAGTTTCTACATGAAATCTATTTTCCCTGAGAAAATGGAATCTTTGTGTCTTTGTCTCCTCACTAGCTTTCAGGCATGTTTTGGCAGGAGCTCCGACTGTCGAGGCACTGGAGAGGAGGGGCCTTGCACTCATTTGTCAGCTTTTCTTGCATCTGTAATTTTTGTCCACTCAGCAGTACTGGAGGGGCTTAGAAAAGGGGGAGAGCTTGTAGCTGTTGAAAGTCAAACTCTTGAAATAATTGCTGGACTGTAACAGTTTGGGAAAGGTGTGTGTGGGGGGAGAAACTACAAATATTTCAGCTAAAAACAGCTTTAGGTTTAAGGTTTTAGCAGCTTTCCATTTCATGTAATTGCATGCCTTTCCCCCATATATCTGTACAGGCAACAGTACTGTGTTTATAGACTTGTTTATTGCATGTTGATAAACTGGCTTTTTTTAACGGTGATGAAAATTATTTCACCGGTGTTCAAGACCTGGTTGTTTCCAACCAATAGCTTAATTTAAAACATTTAAAGTCTTCTCTAACTTTTGTTCTAATCCTCCGCTGCAATCTTCCTTTGCAAGCCATGCGCTTTCATCTCATTGTGTAATGTAACCAAACAGAAATCAGTTAATTTTTTTTTTTTATTAGAAGACAGATCCCTTCATACTAAAGAAAGCATTTTTCCTCTTCGGCTTTTTATGGAATATTAATGTTGATCTCTCCTCCTTGTTTCAGTAGGCTATTTAAGCTCAGGGCTCATACTGTGAGCTGTTAATTAATCAGTGTGACAGATGAAGAAAGTATCCAACTATGAAAGAAAACCTTACTTCAGTGACTAACAATAAGGATGTGAGCCCGAGTGATTTAAAGGATTTTTTTGGTGAATGTGTGATAAGGAGTCTTAAGCTGTTTGAGGTAACGATGGTTTTTTCCACTCAGTTTGTGTCTCTGCACAAACATTAAAGGGTTCGTCAATATTTTGTCTTGAAAGTCTAGACAGGAGTTAAAAGAGCCTCTCCTACAGTTTGAAGAGATCCTGTTTCCCATAATTAATAACAGGAAGCAAGTAAATAAGGCTTTACTGACAAATGA